GCTAATTTTAAGTGAGCACTTATAGCCAAAACAAGCCTTTGATTTAAGCAAAGTCACACTTGCCTTTCGTACCCGCTCTACCAGTTCTCGATCGAACGCGGTTCCTTGCAGGCCTATAAGTTCGATACAGGTAAAACCTTTAACGTGAAGTACAGTCTATGCAACTTTGACGAGGATGGCGACGTTCAGAAGCAATTTAAGGCCATATTTAAGTGCGAGGAGTAGCACCTGACCGTCACCCTCAGCCGGCCTAGTGACCTCACATGTCAAGACTTTGTAGCCTATTTCATGAAAAAACAGTTATATGTCCCGCGCCACGTTATATGTACGTTGGCAATGCAATGCGACCTGAAGACCTTTTTTTTTTTAAATTCTGATTTAATCGGGATGGATCTTGCTGGACTTGTCTGAGGTTTCTTTAACTGGCCTATCCAACATCATGAACCAGTGATAGCCGAATGTTCATGGTTGCCATGGTAAACCACTCAAAGAAATACGCATTAAGCACACAGAGTACACCGTTGCTTACAAAAAAACCTTCAGCAGTAAATGTTGCAACGTAAGGCATCTAGACAGAGAAACTCTGAAGTAATGTAAACTAACAATCCTGAAACTGTTCCCTTGCCCCTGTCCCTGAAGGTAAGATGCGTAGAAGAGCTTTGATTTAGATAAGCGATACTCCTACACAATCTTTGCCGTATATCTTAGCCATCAAGCTTAACTGTACATAATCAATTTGCCTTTTCTTTTTAAAAAGGCTTAACTGCAACTATCTTCTTTTGTCTCGGGCCGACGACGTCTAGTGTCTCTATTTAATGCTAGTATAAAATTAGCAAGTTGTATGGATACAAAAGTGCACCAGCCTTGAACCTAGTTTCATCTAAGTATTGCACCGTTTCACATTGGAAAATAAATATCGCGAAAAACTATTCTGTAATTGTATAGTGCTCAACTCGAAATTAACACCAGCTGTTTTCCCTACTGTTTATCTTTGATAGGTTGTGGAATAACGGCATTTAGTATTGTAGTTTATATATAGTTATATATACATATATAAACTATATATATATATATAGTATATATAGTTATTTATAAACATACGAAGGTAAAGTTTGAGTATATTGATACTAGCGTAAAGTCAAATGGACAAATCAGGACCTAATATAAATTAAATATATTTTATTTCCAGCGGAGTGTCTAAGTTACTATTTTCTAGGGGTTTGCCATGTTATGATTACCTCAAAAGTACAATTCAGAAGCGAATCAGGTTGTATTTCGTCCTCTATCGTTTGCTTATTACACAGCCGGAACAGCCTTTTAAACTTGTTTCAGATGTTAGTCTAAATTTCTTCCAATTGTAGGGTCGTGACTCACGAATCAGAAACCCTCAGATCCACCAATATAAAGGCATGCTTCCTGCTTCAGATGTCTTGGTGTCTACAGTGGCTATCTATCCCAGCACATGCAGGATACCGCTTGGCAAAGGGACGCCGTGTGTTACATTTTCGTCATTACTTCAGTTCAACCCAAGTTTAAACATTTATTTCATTGGGCCTTTCTTATTTTGTCATGAATATATATTTATATATATATATATAAATATATATGAATTTGCTTGTGGGCAATTTTTATCCAATTTATCCACAAAAAATCGATGTATTGTATTCTGGCTGCACGATACCTATCCGCGTAACTATTCAGATACATGCAGTCCACAGGACATGATAGTAAAACTTACCCGCCGTATATGTTGTGCAACAAACAGCTAAGTTGCTAGTTTCGGGGTAAAAACTTCCGTCGGTGTTAAATTTTTTGGATTTGAGAGAGCCATGGCTCTCTCCTTAAGCGTAAGCTTTCCCTAGACGACACTACAATGTAGAGATCCTTTTGATTTGGAGTGGGCCCATGCTGGATAAATATTGCCTACCCCATGGGCGATCTCGGGACGCAGTTAACTTTCCGGTGCCGTAAACTTCAAGTATTCCCATGAGAGAAGAAACAAGAATTTGCTAGGAGCAGTGAGAAATTACTGGGACGGCCAGATGATGCCAGCAAAACAGTTCAAATGAAGTAGGGCTGCAGTAACCTATGGCGCACGGCTCAAACGTACACATGAAGGTTCTACGCAATTATCCCGCCCATACCGACAATCGTGTTTGCCTGGTTCATGAACTATAAAAATGCCACTGCTCTCGATGTTTCATTAGTGCTTATTGTGCGTATATAACATAACATTGCTGGGCCAATGATTCTGGCAGAAGCCAAGGTGAAAAGACACTTATAAACTGTAAAGCATTCAAGAGCTGAATTTCAAATTATATAGTTATAAATTACACAAAAGCTCTTGTGACAAAATTTCGATCGGAATAAGTTGTCCTATTTTTTTTTTTAGTGTTATTGTATCTTTATCAAATTAGCCGTACAGGCCCTTACTCGGTACCCAGATGAAACCAGTCTCTGTCGTCGCAAAGTAGTAAAACTATAGGTCACTCTCTGCATTCATTTATATATGATATTAACAACAGTAATCGAAGGAATCGAAATTAATAGAAATTCCTCCGTTTTTGTGAACTACAGAGCAACTATATAGTTCAGTAAAAATAGACACTTGGATATTGTGCTATTTCTCCTGCTAAGATGCGTCCAAGGTACACCAGATCGAAACTTGCCTTCATTACAGTCCCGCTCAGTTTGGTCTGGGGCACTGAAAATAATTGCGCGAAATTATTTCCAGCTCTCGGTCGGCGAGAGGCGGTTTCAGCCATGCAGGACCGATACCAGAGTCGTCTTCCGCCACACGGTTATTTGCTCCGCGCTCTACTTGATCTCACCTCCGTTCTGACCCCTTTTTCCGCTTTTTTGGTGCCTCCTTCTTTAACAACGTCGGCAGTGAAGGCTTCCTTTACCTCAGTACATGGGCGTACGTCTTCGACGACGCCGACGCAGCCATTCAAACGGCAAATAGTGACTTACACATGACCCATTGACAGTTGACATGGGTTGCTTCGGAGCCCGATTGCGTCCCGCGACGGCAAATAAATTCGAGTTTTTGAGCTACAAAAATCGCCAAAAAGAAGCCTGGATAAATAGGAACGAGGATGAAGCAGTCAGGAAGTGCTTGTGAAGGTGTCATTCGCTAGACTATAAGAACCGCTTAAGTGCAGTGGTACATACCTAGTACCTAGTCACAACAGTTCCACTCTGCAATAGTAGTATTGTCAACAAAACATTGCCACCTAAATACAACGTCCGATCATTATCCAAGTCTTGTCTATTTCTATTCCGAGTGAACGGATTGAAATAAAAATGTAAATCAACCAAAAAAAACTAGAACTTAATGTTTAAAAAAAGTGTTAGTTTCTCTAGTAGCGTATCAAGAGTACACCCGTCATGTTACATGGAATAATAGAAATATAACAATAATTTTATGTCAATGTTAAAACAATATATTTGGAAATTGCTTTAGATCACAATTGTAGAGTAATCGGGTTGTTTTTCACGATTCGTCTAGGTATCTATCTATCTATCTATCTACCTTTTGGACTGCTTCATTATTTTCTATCTAGGAAATAGCGTTGCGTAGAATCCTATGCGTATCCAAGTTGATGCATAGGTTCATCTCGGTGGTAAGTTTAACTCTAGTGGCCTATAAACAATAAGGAAAGCCCCTAGCTATTAGTTGATCTTGGATCGGAAAGCCTTGTTCTCAAGAGAGGTCCGTGCAATTAATGCAATGCGTCTCAAAAGTTGTCCCAAAAACCCAGCTAAAAAAAGAAAGTATTCGTTATAACAGGTCGAAATAACGTAAAGAAACACATTCGGTCTTATACACGGCCGGTATCTATAGTAACTCCCTCTAAACCGCTTCAAGTCCAGTTCACGGTACGTAAACAGCATTTGTCATCATTGCCCTTACATAATTTGGACGTTGCGAATCTGTACGAATCTTTGCCTCGTTTTTCACTTTCTGCCCTTTCTTGTACTTCATTTTCTCATGCCTCGCTCGAGTTCTGTAACTTTCTGAATTCTCGTTTCTTTTTTATTCCGCGTTCAGAGTCTTGGGACCTTAAAGCGGGGAAAACTATTAAGAGATGACCCTGGAGGGTCAAAATCGATAAATTAAGCCATCTACTCGATGGCTGGCGCAGGTTATCGTCAACGGATGGGTAAGTCACTAACGAAGCAACCTCTGTGGCGGGCCGATTTCGTCGCTTCTGAACACCGCCATCACCGCCACAGCCATCGGGATAATAGTCACGTAATGCCAGTAGACATTCTTTCTCTTCCAACCTTCCAAACCGATATGGAAGTTTTCCATCTTTCCAAACTTGTCCGTTTGTCAGTTATCGTAATACACCTGATACCCCCAAAAGTTGAGCATAGTAACGTAATCTTGTTAAAGATGTTGTGGAAGAGACCATCTCGCTGAAGTTACGTGTCCTGCAAATCCTTTTCAACGATTTGGGGCGCAAGGGAACCTGAAACTATCCCCTGATAGCGGTCGGAAAGTTTTTTTTTTCGGAAATTTCATCGGAAAAGAGGCTTACATGGCACAACAGACAGTGATTTCTTAAGATGCAATCTTTTTTCTCGGCTATCTGGGGGATTCTCATTTTAAGACAATCCAGAAACGGTGAACAAACTTATTTTTCTTAGAATTCCCTTAAAATATCAGTGTCGCCATTTCAGTGATAGAACCAGACGCGTGAAGAAGTGATCAGAAACTAGGTTGAAAAATAACTGCTATAAAGAAAGCCAAGAAAAGCCAAACTTATTGGTATTTTATTTAAGTAAGGTCTTAAATGTAAGAAGTTGACAATAAAAAAAAGACTCACATTTTGCTGTTTTTTGTTGATGTTATTTTGAGTTTGCTCCATATTAAATAGATTCCATCCCTACATTTCTCACTTTCATCCAACCTGAAGTATATACGGATGGGAGAAGAAGCTTAAGAGTAATAGGAATGGGGCAGCAAAAGTTTGCCATCGATTTGTTCGTACCTGATGAGGCCACCCGTAAGTGTACGCGACTTCACCCTTCTGCCACTTCCCATCGAAGTTGTCGTCGCTCTCCCAGACGGTGATGTTTTCAAATGTGTTCACGTCCATGACGATCACCCGCAAACGGTCTACCGAGAGACCTTCGATTGCGTAAAAGAAGGATATGCAAAAACCCTGCAATTTAACAAAGTAACATGCAAACTTTGTTCGTTTAGATTTGATATTTCACGCTTCATGTTTTTTGTACTGTATTTAGAGTAAAAGGCAGTAATAGACAACAGCAGATGGCAATTAAGTATTTGCCGTCGATATTTTCTTTTCAGAAAAGCAAAATTTGGTGCCTAATGGAAGCCTTAACTACGTTTTAACATACCTTATGTTCACAGGACAACTTTGCACCTAGTTGTTCTCAGTCTAAAATCTTTTGTTAAGGCTCTATCGTGGCGGGAAGCAGACAACGTTGAAGGACCAACAGAAGAATTTGTTTTAGTTATGTGTTTATATGCAAGTTGTGTAAACGGTTTGGACAAATCATATATATTTTTTTAATAAAAATCACGTTTACAATTTTGTTTTTTATTTTTTTATAAAGCTCCTATATCTCTATTCTAGGCTTAAAAGAATGCGAAAGCTCCTATCAACCTGCCGCACGCCCATTGTTGACACTAAGGCTAGGCTATAACATCGGTGCTCCCTTATGCTGGACTTCACTCAAACAGGATAAATGCTTTCCCTACCCACCTTCCAGCCGTCCTAAAAAGAGGACCAGTTTGATTAGGAATATATCGGAGGACGGAAACAGGGCAAAAAGGCTTTTTTTATTGTTTCATTTGAGCCTTTTTGGAGAAATGCATCAAGATTCTCGTACAAATCACATAGGGTCGTGCGCAAACACATACATGCATAGCTTATAAGGCGTAATGCATATTGAACAGGATGGTAGGTCGAGTAAACTCGTCTTATATCGCTTTTATCGACAGTTATATCAATATATTAACTGTGTATGATGATTACAATGAAATGTGAACCCTGGGGCCATTAAAGCTTTCCCCGCCCAATTCGATGCTGAAAATCCCGTCTAATGTGTGCCGAAAGCAAACGATAGACTCTATGTAGAGGTAGTGATTATATACAAGCAGGCAAATACGATATGTAACAACAGTGGCATCGCATGACTAGGAAACTTCACTTGTTTCATGTGAGCACATTTTTGGCCATGACTAAGTATGTGTGGATCACGGGTACGGATAATCTGGTAAGGTTATGCTTAGAGGTAACTATCAAAGTAATCAGGCCATAATCTCCTTTACTATGAAAAAGCGTAAGTAGTCATTTGGGCAGATTCGGTTCTACGATGACCTAGCGAAATACTGAGTGAGATACTGCAGTGCCCGATATCTCCAAGACTTTCTCGAGCGCCGAAGGTGATTGAGTCGAGTAAAAGCGCTAGAAGAGGCTTTCACTTGCACATTGCTGATTGTACGGAAACGCGCCGACGCCATGTATATATATATATACATTTTATGCCATGTCTATTTATCTAAGTCTGACCTCTTGAACGAAAGCTTTCGTAGCTCGAAAACAGTGGGAACAGAACTGTTCGCCGACGGCAATTATTTAATAGAGAGCGAGTAAGTTGGCAACCGATAGACCCTAAGATATCTAAACGCGCTCGTAACCTCTCAGAGTATTAATCGCTCGAAACAGCCAGCCGCCTGAACGCCGTACGAGATTGCTGTCTCATTGCTTGACCGGAAACTTACATATTGAAAATATTCTACGGACAGACTACACGGAACTAGCAGAAAATACACACACATTTTTCTTACAGAAGCGCTAGATCACCCACAAGGCATGTCAATTTACGATTCAGTGTCTCTATCATGTACGTTTCCATTTGTTTTTTTAGCGGGTAGACGTTGAAGTAAGCCGGGCCGTAGTTGCTGGGTTTTTCATTCCGACCATTTGAACGCTTCGAACATTCCAAGACCGTGAGAACGCTGCTTCGACGTCGTCATACGAAAGGTTGAATCGAGACTTTGAAGTTTAGCCTCGAGGCTACTGGCCCGTAAGCACATACGAAATGCACAATACGTGCATATACAATAGCCGGTAGGTTTATCACTGAAAGTTCATATCCATAGTAAGGACTAAATTCAAAATTGAGCTGTCCTCATTTTTACGATGCTACCCTTAACGAGACTAATTGCTAATCTTTAAGAGAGACGTTTTCGAATAATATAGATAACTATTCACATTGGATACATTATTGATTAAAAAATTCCTTGTGCTGTTTGAAAAAATGGTTCTTATAAGCTGTCTTAAATGCTCTGTTGAAACACTGGAAGAGCTTCTCGTGTTGATCGGCTTTGTTTCGTGTTGAAACATCTTGACGTACAGCTTCTTTGACGTCTTGGAGAAAGTCGATTTTAGTCAGCTTTTCAGTATCGTTTTTTTCAATACGGTTAAAACTCGCATCGGATTGTAGTAAATCAATATACTTTGCAAAATACAGTGGCATAGGTTGTGTAACCTTTTTCAACCTCCCTGCAAATCCATAGAGCTGCTATGTAACATAGACTCTCGGAAAAAGCCCAACGGGATCGTAGAATTCAATCAAATTCTGACATAGGACCAGGCACTAAAAAAAGGGCGCACACTTAATGAAGTTTATTAGTTCAGCTCGAGAAAGCTGACACTATCGAGACAAACACATAAAAATTATGGATCTACAGACTAAGCTTCTTAAAAGACGGGAAAAGTCGCTCTGTACAGGTCTCACACAAGGCACGGGCGATATTACCAATGGTAAACAAAAAGGTTAAAGGGTGGAGTATTACCGCTCGGTCAATAAAAATACCTATGTTAGTAAGGGAGATGCCAAATGATACTTTCTCTGTAGCTTAGTCTGCTGAAAATTCTTTAGAAATGATTTTCCCTCCCTTCTTGTTGCATAAAGGTCTGCATAGTTGAACCTATCGACTGTTAATAAATATTTTAAGCTATCGCAGACAGTCAGACCGCTTCGAGTAACTCTCCCAACATTCGTCAAAATGAGTGTCACAGTTATCTTGTTTTGTTATAGACGTTGTATTAGTGCTTCTGACCGTCAGATGCCGGGAACTTGCAAGATGAGGCCCAGAATATTATACATTTAAGTGTAATTAGTCCATATACAATGACGTATAACAAAACTTCAAGAGAGCACATAATATTACGTTGTGCAAAGAGTATTCGGTTATCTTTATATGTCGGTTAGTGCAGTGCTTTTATACAACGCAGATATATTGTGACAGCAACCGCTATAATCCAACCTGTGGCCCGGTTGCCGAGATGTTTCGTGTAGCGAGAACTGCGGACTCGAAATCATTGACAGGTTCATCAGGCTGGGCGACCCCAGAGACACTTCCCGCGGCTGCCCCACCTCCAACATCAATATTATTCGATTCGGTTGTCACTCCACCAGGTAAAATAGGGGGCTGGCGTGGAGGTTCTCGTGACGTTTCAAAATAGATGTATCCACCTGAAAACCACAACAGATTTTGCACTACTTCGCGATCGTATGAGTGTTAATACAAACACTGTATATGAAAGATCACATGCAGACGCGTTATGGCTTATTAAATCGTCTTAACTATAAAATCGCTGAATAAAACCCTTACAAAGGAGTTAGTAAACTTTAGTCGTCGACTATACTAGAATATATTGTATGAATATCTTTCCGAGAAGATGTTTTTCAATACCCGTACATTTCAGCCCTTACAAGTTTGGAGAGTAGAGTCTTTCAAGTCTGAAAATATCAACAGCTAGTTACCTATCATCAATTACGTACATCGCCTACAGCCGAGATGGTTACAAGCAAGCACAATTGTAATCTTTTATGTAAGTATCTGAGATTAGGAGGATAGAGATTTAGTGAGCAGCCGTCGGATTTTATCCGGCGGCATGCAATACTATGATTTAGGTCATAAGGTTTTCATAACGTCTGGATAGTTGACAGAACTCTGAAAAGCTTTCTTGAAGTTTCGTGTTCGTAGGCGTACACGTTAGGCAAATAATCACCACTATGTGGTAGATGCCAGGTAGAAAAAAAGATGCAACTATACGAGCAACAATGTCTCAAACTCAATCTGTCAAGACAAGTTCGCGCGTAAAGGCTGACTGTCATTAAATTATAGGGTTTGGACCAATTCGAATATATATATATAGTGTTCCCATAGCAGTTAAACAGTGTAAATCGCCCAATTAGTTGCTAAACAATAAGCTAACGTTAAACAATCATTATTGAGCTATTAAGCACCACTCAAAAAGACTATATGTGTCACTTGATCATTGGTGAGTCTCGAGACCTTGGATCTTAGCTCATTATTGGCTTCATATTAGTTGATTAAAGGCGGACTGGGAAGTATATCGAAAACCACCTTTGCATACAATAACAGCAGCAACAAAGGCGCCCGAAGCGTTACGAGTCTTAATTTTTGGCCTTTGTGCATACACGCACGACTATTTATCGGCATATATTCAGTATGCAATTATAGTTATGTGTATATGCGTGTTGGTCGTCTGTTCGTTTTTCCGTTTTGAGTTCGTTCTTCAAGTCGCCTACGACACACACCAACGATTGCAAGGACAGGCCAAAAGTCCCTATGGAAAGAATGAGGTGGGTATGAGAAACAGTCGTCGTTTGTCCTGAGTTGCTCAGAACCCCGAGCTTGAGGGGGAGCTATACCAGGGAAAAAGAGAGAAGACGCTATTCCTTGGACCTTACACAAGGCTATAGGTGACTGTAAGACTATAAAAGGGGGCTTCTATTAGGGTGGGAGGGCTTAGAGGGAGAGAGCATAAGAGTAAGAATAAAAAGGGAATGCCATAGGCGGCACGTCGGCTCTCTACGAGTTCCATCGCGGATATCGGGTATGGGGTGGTTCGACCAAGCGCTTAACTGTCGTTATATAAACGAGGACTTGGCAGTAAACATTACTACCGTAGTCGTCAGACTGACGTCTGTTTCTGCCACGCTAGCATCACCAGCAGCGTTGAGTAAATAGTAAGCAATACATGAACGGGAATAGCATCGCGCATCCGAAATAACTGAAAGCCTGTTTTATCTGTTCTACGATTGTGCGCCCTTAAAATCAAACTATCGAATGTTTGCAGCTAGAGACGCCAATAACGAGAAGCTTGCGTAATGAGACTATAACAATCAAACGAACATCGAACAGCCAATAACCGGACGTAAAAACGTTAGAATATATGTCCAATATTTCGTGAATAGACCACGGCTTGTTTCGTAGACAGAGTCTACTTAAAACATTCAGATGACTGTGCTCAAGTCCATTCTATAGTGATTGCCCATTTAGTAGGTAGCAACCTTGGGGTCGCATGGGGGCAGGCGTAATGAACAGCCGTGGCTGACTTCTGTGCGGTCTAACGTGCGTGAACGAAGAAGCGCCTGGTTCTCATCATTTGGTGTTATTCGTTGGGGGCTGGAACCTTTCGCCGTAGAAATTAATATAATTAGACGCGCACGGTTTAGCCTCTAGTGGACATTTATTATGATTGTCTATAAGCTTCGTGCATCTTTAGATCTTGGCCTATGGGCCATTGTGTTCGGAAACACTGCTTAGTATTGTCATATGGAGGGAGATTACATGATAACGTTATTTTCTACTTGGCTTGAGTAGAGGCCAAGTAATCTCGTACAATCATATAATAGATAGACTTGGTGAGTTGCAGGAAACGGTGTGAAACATTTTGTCGCTAGTCCTTCTCTCGGCTAACAATGACATAGTTACACCTAAAAATAAAGGGTCCTAGTGAAAATGCATCGATCCAAAATCCTAAGCGTTGCTTATTTTATCAGCCGGATAGTTCTCGTAACAAGAGTCGTCGCTCCGCTGTCATTATTACGGTGCTACTTAAACGAGCAATGAAATAGATTTTCTACATATGCTATTTAGATTCTGAATAGACTCAGAGAAGTTTTGCCCCGGGCTCATTTTATCGTTGTTGGATTTAACTTACACATTGTGTTAATTCAGCCTAACGTAAAGTATAGCCTGTAGCAACAGTAATGCTATAATACCTACCCGTCTGCTATACGCGCCTCATTATTCTTTCACTAGCATCCTATCTGCCTTAACGAGCTTGACTCAATTCAGTCTTGCTTCTTTACAGTTATCTCATTACATTGTTCCAGCGATTGGTCGCACCTAACCTAACCTAACCTTTGGTGAACCTATGAAAATAGTGCAGTGATTCCTTTATTTATTCTATTTCAACTGTCTTATCGATGTAGTGCCGTCAATCGATTGCTATCAGTCTGTCCTAATATCTGACTGACATTGCAATGCTCCCGAAGCTGTTTCTTCGATTTGGCTCCTAGCTTATTATAACCGAACACGTTACCCTGTTGACTAACTCATTCCAGTGATGATTGATTACCTTGCTAAAATGATCCCACTTTCCTATGGGATTAATGCATTACACATATTCCGCGATGCGAAGAAACAACCGGGTCCAATTTTAAATTTGCCAGCAAAATCCAAACAAATTTACCTTTGGCCGCACACACGACACCGACCTCGGATTTTACGTATTCCGGATCCAGTACCCTTCTGCAGTTGGTCAGGATTTCATTTAAGCGTGCAATTACTTCACGAAATCAATTTGGGTTGCACGTGTATACAGAGGCGAACAAACAGCCAGATAAGCTGAGTTTCAGCGAGACGTTAGACTCTTAGGAGCCAAGAAAGGGCGCGAGGCGCAGACTGGTCGAAGACGCAAGCGTACCGTCGGGAAAAAGTAGTTTTAGCGTTTGCTTACAAATAACTGTTAGCTCATTTTTGCCAATTGTAAGCCCTCTTTTTGAAAACTATGTCGACGGCCCCACCTCTGGTGGCGTACCGTAGACCTTGTAACTTTGGCAATTGGTAACGGTTCTATAGATTCAGCATTATGCTTCACGTAGAGCATATGAGCAACCTATCTATCTCTATTCAGATCAATAATGACTAAAACATTAAGAGAGAAAACGAAGCCATCGGACTGCTAACTGGTCAACGTCCTATATTCGATATAAGTAACAATAGCTACATGGTTTACCACTACAATCCCGAATGATGGGCAATATATACCTAATACGAAGCAACAGAGCTCGCTATAACCTCTCCAACATTTGCAAAGTCCGCTGCCAGCTGCTTGTATGGTATAAACGATCTGCTTTACCATATGAAATTGCAGATTTACTAGCAATAGATACCGGACGTAAAAACTCGAAGAATAAAGATACGACGTGCGGGCGTTAGACTCTGTCGGCGATCCGCTCGGTTGGGACTCGGTGTTTCGAGGAAATCCGAGAGATGCGAGAGATTCGTGGTAGCTCATGCAGTAACAAAGCTGTTGGATAACGCTAGCAGGCATAAAACGACATGCCTGCCGCAATGGCCCACCAGCAGAGACAAAATTTTGAACTTGAATTGTAAACATATTATCTAGACGAAAAAAATATAAGCATCTCTTCTTCTGGCTTATAATAGTTAGTCGTATTGTGCATCGGATGGATTGTAAAAAAAAAACCCGTACTTAACCTGTAAAAAATCTGTTTCATTGATAACGCGTCGCTGGCCAAGGAAGATTGGTACCCTTAGATTTTACTGTCTTTCAAGGTACTAAGAGTTACACAATCAGGCATACTTACAATTCTGGAAAAGTACAATTGCTACCATGGGATTAATTAGGATAACGATGATCGATACATGCCCGTTGTTTCCTTGTTCAACTCGTGGCCTGCTTCCCCTACTGCTACTTATACAGTGCATTCTCATAACTTTGCCCACATAAGACTCTTTAAGGAGAACTAATCGCATTGGAAAAAAATTCGTATGACTGCTACATGAACGCAGCCAGACAATATATGCACCAAACGAACGCATACAGAATACGTTACTAATAAATTGCACGTACCCATACACTATGGGTGATATCATGAAATCGGCTCGTGTGGCTATACATTAAAATACAAATTGTATACGTGTGTTTAGATAGAGAAAATAAAATTCTTGCAACTAGCAGCAAGTAGCACTTTTTGTTTATGGTAACATGATGGATTAGTTCCGAGTACGTTTCTTGGGAGTCATATATTTACATATTGGTCTCAACGGTGCCAATAACACCTCCCATATTAATCGTTATCGAACTCGAGTTCGCAGGCTACCTCTTCGAGTGGGTTCCACCACAAAACGGACCGTATGTCTATGCCTGGATTTGAACTTAGACCACAACGTGTCCCTAAGGTTAGCAGGTAAATAAGTTACTCAGTAAACTATCGCAGGGACTGCCTCTGCTTCTGCTAAATTTGCTCGGGATTAAAGACAGCTGAAACCGAGTTTTTTTTACTCCTGTTTGAAAGATATACTTCAGAATTACGGCCCAATTACTGATTTTAACTGGATAGTGAGTAATAGTACATCGTTGGTGTTATAGTTTACTTGCTTGGAAATCTAGTGGACTCTACACGAAGCTGTCCCGGCATTCCCTGACTATAAGAATAGCAGATAGGCAGCAATGGCCCAGAAGGTCACCAGTGAGCGCTTATAACATTAGGCATGGTCGTGGACTTCGTCTCTGCTAGGTGCGCGAGGACTAAGCAGTGGGTCGCAGGTCCACTGAATAGTTGCGAAATGGTTTATAAGCCCAAAAGGCATCTGGGATTTGCATATGTACTACTATTAATTGGCTCGCTCTACTGAATTAGCGCCCAACTCATCCGATCATGGTTGATACTGGTGGCATTATCTAGCGGTATCGATTCTTATTCTGAAGTACCATTGGTATCAATTCTTTTTAATGGATAAAGTTTTTTTCTAGTTAGCCTTCTAACACGGGTGGTACACAACGCTACGTTTTCAGGCTTCGTTTTTCAAACCGTTGTCGATCAACAGTGCCAAGCTAGGCGTAATATCGTAAATGATAGGAAATAAGGCGACCTACGATTTATTGCCGGTATGTCAATAGTCCGCAGTAGTCAGGAACGTGCAGATGCCGCTATGGAACTATAGTTGCCAATTCTTATAGATGTTGAACAGAAGTAAGGTCTATGATTTATGTCTCTTCCCATCAAAACGCAGATACGACACTGATACAATCATTTTTGGATTCCGAATTCAATCAAAAGACGATCCTTAATTTAGGTAGTGAATAAAAAAAGAAAACCACAGATAGTTGTGACGTAGCAAAGCACGACGGATATTTGTTCATGAAAATTCTGCGACATTTAAAAGGGTTACTCGACAGATGGCGCCGCTCACTGTCTTTGCCCTACACCCGGTACGTTTTTATCATTATGTGCTTCTATACAGAAGTGAGGCGTCTGCAGCTATGTGGCTTAACACTATTGTTATATTAATCAAATTGAATAAAGCAAATTTCAGTATCGGCGGCAGTGGTAGTATCCAAAACTAACTAATTATAGAATATGCCACCAACATTGGTGGCCGTCAGCTTGCGAATTTTAGACGTAAGCCTATCCACTAATGATGATACTGAGTGTCATCGTTTGCCGTGTGCCTGTAAATAAGCTAATGATTTCGAGATAGAGAAAAATGTTCTTTTTTTTGTTATTGTCGGTTCGTGTTGGCTGGAACCAGTTGAACGTTCTGTCAACAGATGACAAAAATGACTGTCGCTTTGAGAATTGCACTGATCTGCCATTTCCGCCGGATGCCCTTTCTATTCGAATCATCATTAGAAAAAAAAACTAGGGGGCCGCACTATCATTTCGAAACGAGCTGCCGGGACCAACGACAACAAAACTCAGAGTGGGCAAACTTCATCGGCTATGAGTTTTCAAGAGAAGAAGAGACGTGCGCGCGGCCAGCGACATCAGCTAGCCTGACCTTTACTTCACTTCGGTATTGTTTCCAAACTAAAATGTCATTTTAGCTCTGTATATAAATAAGCCATATTTCGACACTGACTCGCATTGAACCTACGGCAGCTCTACTTACATTTTGCTAGTTCGATATAATCCTGCCATCTTGTTAATAGGGGTATGTTAATGTATGTAGCAAAAATCATGCAACGCGTATAATTAGTTGACAATTGCTGTTCTGCAGTGGTTAGTTTTTATTGTACATAGAGAAATTCGCAGGGCCAGTTTAAATAAAAGTCTCTGCTTTTTTTGCCAATACAGAATCGCTATGGGCCGACAGCTTCGACTCCAACAAAAATATACGAGACTCTGGCTTCTCAACTTTCTCGACAGGTTACAGCGCCTTTACTGTGTCGGCTTACTTAGTTGTCGACCACGTCCGCCCCAACGGCATGCCGCTTTTTTAGCCTTAGAGATGTGTCAACATAGCCCGTACATATTTGACGAACGCGGCAGCTCTCTTCATCTTTCAGAGAACGACTACACGACATCTTTACGGTGGGATGCCTTCTGCGAAGACTTTTTACTCACAGCACAACGCCGCGATTAAGTAATGCAGTGAAGATTTCCTCTTATCCACCAGCCCGATCATGACTTGCTCAATGTCATGTTACAAGTACCGCCCAGACGACAGTGACAGCAGCAGGTAAAAGCAATGGCGACAACGCTTGCCATATGTGATTTTCGACTGCTAAAATGTAACTTGGGAAGTTCCCGTCATAGACGGTATTAAGAATGTTGTTGTTTGCTTTGAGCATCTACGCGGTGGCCCTTATTCAAGTCTCTCGAACGATGGCTTGATATCTGATAAAACAAAAGCAGTCTGCAGGTTATCTACTAGTGACAATTTTAAGCAATGTACATCTGTTACGATGCATACGTATGCTGTTATGTAATTAATTCTAAGTGTTGATATCTATCGAGCGTGCGATAGGAGGAATCGACGCCCTGTCTGGATGCACTGTAAATTTCTTTAAGTCTGTACAGTATAATCATACAATTGAAGAGGTAAAAAGGATGCTGTTATTCCTTTCGGGGACGCGGCAAGGACGAGTTAGGAACAACCAACGCAAAGCGTCGTAGGCTTTCAACGTACGCCTTTTTTTTAAACTTCATCCATAAAAGCAAATGAATACTATGAGAAACCTCTTTGACGTCAAGCTTTCACCGACAGGTTTCGACTCAGGAGAGCTGCAGTCGCCGGTTGTATTTAATGCAATTGAGCCGTGCACGCATTAAGTCCTGTGTACGTCAGTCTGTATACATTGTGTGTCCAACTTCACGTACTTTTCGTGTACGCGCATCTGCTGTTATTTTCCCGCAAATCACAACAGAACGAAAGTAAACGAAAATAGGACCTCGTGGCCAACCAAACACATTGGAGCGGCATAAACGGTACTCTTTCATTATTCATCGCATAAATTCCTCTGAGCACTGCCGCTGTCCTATCCTAATGACCCCCGTATTAATCTATTCCCGTTGCCTGTTATTCAACTAAATAACAAGGCGTTTTCAGGAAATTTTCCCATTTTCCCGCCCCTACATCTTGTCTCCCTTCACGAGCCACTAACAATCCTCGTCCCCTTACTATTATTTGATCAAAATTGCATTCAAGATATCTATAACGTAATTAGCATGAAAGAATTTAGTTAGCTGGATGCTGGACGTTTTACCGCTTGCGTCGTGTGAGACTTTGACTTTTTTTTTTTTTTCTTTTTTTCGGTCTTTAACAGATATGCCAATTCAGAGGGATATTTGCAGCAAACGAAAACTAATATGAAAATTGTCAGATATGACGTTAGAGGTCAGTGTTGACACTGCTCCATTCCACAGCGGCGCTAAATCAGTGACATCTAGAAGTAGTCAATTCTTGCCTTCTGCTATAGCCGATTGCCCATAGAGAAACAACGATTTATCAAGCTTAGCTTATCTCACAAAGGAAGCGTACAAATTCAGTCACACATATTAATGGACTAGATAAACATTTTCGTCTCACTATACGTATATAGTTTGAGAATAACAACGATACCGCCTTAATAACAGAATCCACTGCCGATTCCGTGAACGTTAGCAATCCTAATGGTGCAACCGGCATAGTCGACATCTCATCAGTAAATTCCATTCAAGTGTCTGATCGTTAAAGCGATCGTGGAGTTGTCTCGGCAGATTTGACCGTCCGGCTCGCGTTGTGATATGTTAGTTGACATGTATTTGAATAGGGTCTCTTCTCACCCGCTGTTCGAATCTGTGACTATAATGCCCCGAATTTCTTTCTACTGAAAACCATCTCTATACGCAAACATCAGTTTCACAGTAGACTATTACGGAATAGATAAACGCTTTAAAGTTAACTTAGCTTCGAAGGTAATCATATGTGCCATGCTAATTAGTTAAACTGAATTAGTTAGTTCGTATTAATTGAACCGAAGTTATTCATACCGGCGCCGTTGTTCTCCGTGTGGTCTGTCCGTGGTCCACCGCGGAACAAAGCGTCATCGCCCCTAGAGGCAACCCAGGGTATGCTTCGCGCAGCCGTTATGTTAGGTGTATTGACCCATCCGCAGGCGCGAAGCTCTTCACCCGTTCCAAAATCGCAAGGTTCAGGCCTCTCTATCAGTTCTGTAATTGGCAGTAATAATAGGAGGGTAACTGAAGTGCGATACAAACCACCGGATATACAATGTAATCTTTAAGATGCTACATGCCTTCATATTGCAAACTTTAACAGTTACACTAACCTATATGTACAGGAAGCGCAATTGTCACGCTTACTTTGAGCATGACAGGTTTGCTTCGTGGCAAAGCGAAGCGGAACTTCGCAACTTACTTGAAAATTCGTCTTCCTCTTCGTCATCGTCTTCCTGGCGTTTTTCACGAGTCTAAAAAAATACGAAAATGGCGATTATAGGATGCGTCTATTATTCGTAAATACCTATGCGTTGTAAAACTTTCACGCACAACAAATGCCAGACAACTATAACGGACTTAAAATATAAGATTAGCAAATGGCTTCCAGTCAGCTACCCAAAATACAGGGACGCTCGTTGATGTTTTTCCTTAGATGAAAATCTACGTGGCACTATTTATAATGCAAAAAAAGAGAATTTTGCGATAAAAAAAAAGTAACAAAAATAAAACGAGCCCCCTTAAGATTTCTTGATCTCGCTATTTTTACATCTAAAATATTCGAAATTTTTAATTTACTAAATTTAAGAAATTCTAAATTATAATTTTGATTACGCTTTACTTCTAAATATGATACATTGAAATAATGGACCTGGATCATTAGCAGGCTCGTTACGAGTCCCCGAGTGTGGCGTTAACTATAAAATGTCTAAAAGACTATTATGACAAGTATCATATTTACATAAAGTTATTGCGTAGCGATAGTCTAAGAAGCGCCAACTCTTTAGGGCTGGATCGATGGCTGCATTTTACATATACACAAGATTGATGGATGAGCGAACAAAAGGACGTTGACTATTCATCTAAGTAAGTTGACCTCATCGCAAACGGCCGTGATCCAGCAAGTGTCGATCCCTGCTCGATCTCCATTTGATCGTATAGATTTTTTGTCAGGTAGTTATCATGCAATGAAGTGACACAATGCTGCGTCGGCATACGTACGTACACGAGTAATGTCAAATACGTGAATATTAATCTGTAGAAATTGCCCCACTTTCCGTTTGTGTTTGTAAGCTCGATGTCTAGCCTTTGTTGGTGGTTCCATAATTTGTCATCTTCAGCCATAGGGATCTATGAGTAGTTTAACTGATACTGAGAGACTAGACCAATTTTCATATTACCTGAACAGCCTAATTAATAAAACTGGAGCGCACCGAATCAATTCTTTTCCTTTTTTTTTTTTACCCCCGATTAGTTTTCTTTTTGCTGCCAGTGTCTGTACTCTCGCTCAATTGTTACAGCTGTTATTGTCACGGGAAAATTTCTAGGCGTTTTAGAGGATTACCCAATGCTTAAATTGATTATAAAAGCAGAGTAAAAATTCTCATTTTGATGTTAACGGTGAAAATGTTTTAGAAAACAAACTTGAAATATATGTGAATGTATAACAAATATATATATATATATATATATGTTTTTTTTACTGAGAAAATAAGGATATGCGCAGGTAAAGTAGAATTTGTTCTCTCTTTGCCTTACAATTAATTAGCGGTAACAAGTCACATAACCATCGGTCACATGCAAGCTTTGTATCATCACGCTTGGACCTCAGACTTCAAAACGAATTCACTCCAACACTTTTTAAAAAAATGCTATGTCACTATCTCCAGCTAAAGGCTTTGCCAGTGTTTCGTTAGTCCACATTAGATGCTACAAAATTAGCAATCAGTGGTTGAGCTTCACGTAGGTTCTTCTACGACTACCGCCACAATGGATGGTTTTAAGCGATTTGATTCCGAAGCGAAAACAGCAAGCGTGATGAATTAAAATTCATAGAGGAAAAAATAATTATTATTATTATTATTAGCAGCAATAACTGATATGAAATGGAACAACGGACTCCCTTGTATAAACCCATGCCCCTGCTTTGTCCTGCCGCAACGCAGGCGTTCAAATCAAATATTTCCCAAAATAGTATTTTGCCACATGACGTCTTGAGTAAATTTCAATTTTCAACAGCGCACTGAATATCGCTTCAGGAAAAAATGGTTTGTTTGTTAAGCTCTATCACTTTGGTAAGGGTTGACCTCGAGTTTCAAGACACCCTCTACAACGAGAACCCAAATTTACAAGCAGTCTAAATAGAACCTATTTTCTATGGCTTTTGAGGCACACGCACGCATGCAGTATATGCATATGCAGTAGCAACGCATGTCCGTTCATATAGGGACAGTTGAAGCTCTCTGGTGTTGCGAAAGCTGGCCGAGCAATAGCGCATCTGATAATGACGGGGCTAACAATCCATTATCCGTTCTTTCCTTTCCTCTGCCGATCCTGCTACCGCCTTCAGTAGTACACTTTCTGTGTAAGATGGTCGTTTGGCTAAGCCAGAAGTGACTACGTGTGCGTCGCTACAAGGCGTAGCGTCGTCCGTTTTACGCTATCTAGTACCGTATGTAGTTTGTTCTTGGAAGTCGACACGACGAAGGGGAAATCTGCTTCGTTCCAATCTGCTTGTTTCTGGGAGCACATGGGAGTACGATGAATCCAAGCAGTCGAAGAGTCGACGACCGAGTGCGCGCGGTTGCCGGCTCGTGCCTCGCGCTTTAGTGTACAGGCGATTATAACCGCAATATTGCAGAGATGACCCCGTTAGTCGAACTAAGCCTTGGTCGCAGTCGACTCTGCCACTGTTGCTTCGATCCCAGCAGTAGGTCTAGCAGGACCAAAGGATCTAAACTGGCCGCTGGCTTGCTAGCGTGCTGCCAGCGGCGCATACAGCGACCGGTCCTCGCTAAGGGCTCTTCGCATACCGCGAGAGGCATGGCGAGAAGTGAGAAGTCTAAAGAAACCTAAAGAAAAATGGGAATGAAGAAGATGGAAGTTAGAGGAAAGAGACTGAGAGGCTCCTAGGGATCTAGTAACGCGAAGAAACAGAACAGGAAAAAAGGCAATCACACAACAATAAGAGCTTCTTTCGGAAGTGCCTCTAGAGGGTCGTTACTTCGACTATAGCCTGGCAGTACCACTGCTAGCGGGATGCTGCTGCTGATTAGGAGTGGATGTCAGTAAGCCGACTAAAATGGGACGGAGTAGAGACTCTTTATTTCTACAGGATCGAAATCCGTGCTTCCAGAAGTCTCTGGTCGAAACGACTCTGCTGTGTACGGCGTGCACATCCGATCACGACCATAGAACTACACATATTCAAGCATGTAGCCTAACTTCTGTATGGGTTATTTCGAGTAAAGTGTACTTTTTTGCAAAAGCTATATATATATATATATATATATATATACACACAACTGTATTGTTGACATTCGTAGAACGTATATCTGTGATATTATATATTATACTCTTCTGGAGAACCGCGCGGGTGCACCAATAAGCGCAAATAGTTGGCGGACAAAATCAATGTCAACAATAAAAATTATTAACGAGACTGGTAGCGTTTTTTAGGTGACGTTCTGGGCTAAAATTCACCAAAAAATATTTTCGAATGCGAGACGATGAGTAAATGCCATGTTTTGATCACAACTGCCGTACCTATGCAAATATATATAGATGTATATTAAAACAATGCATCTTTGTTTTCTGAATGAAAGCGGCTGCCAGCGCTATAGGGATCGCCCGGCAGTGGCCTTAATAGATTTTATGTTTGGCCTAAGTAAAATTAATGGAAAGATGTCTTTCTTTACATGTAAATACTATCTGCTAAGAGCACTAATAGTTTTTTTTTTTTTTTTTTTTAATTTCTAGTCAAATTACAGCACAGATAACACGGAAGCATACTCTACATTGCGGACCGGTCGTTGCTGAACGCTCGCCTAATTACACACTAAACTAAGATCAGAGACCATTACGAGAACACTCGTGTTACGCGAAAATTTCTAATAGTTACACGTAATTCTGGCTGGAACAATTCAAGATGACCGCAAATTGCGCCAACTTCAACAGGAAACGCAGTGCTTTGTCAAATTATTCGTTGAACAGCACGCAAATATGATATATTTTATAACAAGATTGGATCCAAGTCATGCGTAGGCAACTACAGATTTAATCTTCCATAATATCTATTGTATTTGAAACTTGTGAGCATTTTTTTTTAAATGAAATAACTATTAGATCAACAAAGGTAAGGTTCTGCAAGGAAATATCTAGCCTTACACCACAAATGATTTTGTTAACCTGCGGCTAATTCTCAGCCTCGACTCCTTATATGTTGAACTATCCTGGACCAGAACAATAGGTATCACTACAGGGGGTCATCCAGAAGGCCGGTCCAGGGCATGCACGGGCCCGTTTTAAATTCGCGTCGAAGTTCATGAAGGGCAGACTGGCATTGTGCAGTGTTAGTGTACATATAAAGTGGCATATGCCATGTTTTTTCATCGATCGCTGACTATCCCGTCCGTTGCCCCGCGATGCCTGGGCCTTTTATGGACCGGTTACGGCAGCCGTTACAAGTATGCAAATGTTATTTCATGCTTGAGGCGCTTCGCATACGCGTACGATTCCTGTCCCTACTGTGCTTACGAAAGAATCTCGCCGGTCTTCGGCGCGGAAGCCCCTTGCCAGCACTAGGCTGATGCAATATGCAGAGCGCTAGGTTGATTAAGTCATGCTGCTTGGCAATAGCTAATCAATCTTACTTAAAACTGCCCTTAAAAGATAAAACACAGAAAAAATTCTTCGGCTGTATCGGTTTGCTAAGATTGACTCATTACTTTTAGGAAAGGCTGTTAGAGATTGATCCGCGGTATGCTCATTTGATTTGGGAAGATCTTGACGAGCGATCTTTTTCTGTAACAGCAAGCGATGGCTCCAGCATGCGTGGCTCCTACCTTCCCGAAGTGTTTCAGAGAGGATGTCCAGTCGCCATGTGGTCTCGCGTGTACATTTTCTATCTTAATAAATGAAAGATCCGACTCAACTACTCGTGAGCTTAATGTAAATGATCTAATATTTAATAATATTGTAAAATTAGCGGAAAAAACACATGAGTTGAAATGCCTCATGTGGCCTAGTACAAATCAAACCGTTATTTCTAGCTCTATGTGTAGTCCTAAATGACCTTTATGTATGAAGCGTTAATGATTAATGCATACAAAACCTTTAAAGGCTACTAAAGACGTTTAAAGGCTAAAGATTTTACTCAGCAACCCGTTTCTAAGGTTGCTCTCAAAGGATAGCCTAGCTAGTAGCTCAAAACAACGACGTTAGTCATTGTAAAGCGGTGACGAGCCAGCTGGGA